ATATATATATATATATATTTATATATATATATATATATATATTATATATATATATATATATATTATATATATATATATAATAATAATAATATATTATATATATATATATATATATATATATATATATATATATATATATATACACACACACAATGGAATATTCCTCAGCCATAAAGGGAATGAAATATTGCCATTTGCAGCAGCATGGATGGACCTAGAGATTATCATACTAAGTGAAGTAAGTCAAAGAAAGACAAACATCATATGATATCACTTATAGGTGGAATCTAAAAACAAAGATACAAATGAACTTATTTACAAAACAGAAACAGACTCACAGACATAGAAAACAAACTTTTGGTTACTGAAGTGGGGAGGGATATACTAGGAGTTTGGGATTAGCTGGTACAAACTATTACATATAAAATAGACAAACAACAAGGACTTACTGTATAGCATAGGGAACTATATTCAATATCTGATAGTAATTATAATAGAAAAGATCTGAAAAAGAATGTATATGTATATATGTATAACTGAATCACTTTGCTGTACACCTGAAACTAACACAATATTGTAAATCAACTATACTTCAATAAAAAAAATACATCAGTATGTTGTAAGTCAGGATTAGGAGGGTAGGGAACAGGTTATTCCAGACTTTGTATCAAAGGCAAAATAGTGTTGGAGACCATGGCTCATTTGAGAAACAACAGGGTGTTCAGTTGACCCAAAATATAGAGTGCGCTGCAGTGTACGTGGAAGGCCTGGAAATGAGGCTGGGCAGGTGAAGCCAGATCACTGAGGGTTTTATATGCTTTGCCATGGGTTTTGGATCTTGTACTGAAAGCAAAGGAGGGCGGAAAGGAAGTAGAAAAGGATTTGAAGCTGGGCTGGGCTTTGAAATTGAAGTGTGGTAACATGCTTATATTTGTGTTTAGCGGCAACCCTGGCTTCTGGTGTAAAATGGATGAGGAGAGGAGCTTCAGGAGACCAGCCAGGAAGGTGCAAGTCTACAGGTAAGAGGCCGGGTTAGGAGGCTCTTTAGCAATTGTGCAAAGAGGTTGAGGGTCTGAGCAAGGCACTGGTAGCAAGCAGAGATGGAGAGATATTTAGGACAGAATGAACAGGCAAAAAGGTCTTGATAGAAGAGAGTGAAATTAGCATCCCCCCATCAAACAAAACTCAATGACATTTACCAGCTAATCAGGTAGAAGACAGAGCCTTGTGATAGTGACAGCAGTGAGAAATCACTCTGGAGAGAGTTAACAGTAAATCTGATATGCATCAGCCATGTGATATGGCAGTCAAGAAAGCAAATGCCATCCTTAGGGAGCTCCAGTAGAAGAGTCTAGTGTCTGGAGAAGGGACATGACCGTGCAGAAGGGTCTGTGCCTTGGGGTTGGGGGGATGGGGGTTCCCACCTTCCACTTTTGAAAGATATAAAGGAATTGGCTTAAACTCAAAGCAGAGACTTGAATCTAAGTCTTTGGAGCCATAGAGTCTGGAAGAATTGTGGGGCTAGAAGACTTGTAGTCAAATTGTTGGCCCACCATGGGAAAGTTGGCTTTGCATGAAGTTACCAGGGGCCGGTTTCATTCAGCCTTAAGCCATGAGGCAGACACGCAAGCGGCAGTCGGTGGAGGCAGTGAGTCCGTTACTGGAAGTTGTCCAGACAAGAGGGCAGGGACCCTGTACGTGGGAAAACGAAGCCAAAAACCAAAAGCAAAAACAGCCAGTGAGGTGACAGAGCCAGTCGATGACCTTCGAGGTTCTTGTTGACCCTGTGATGTGTAAGTCCTGGCCAAGTGGGTGTACATTTCTCAGCAGTGCTGTCTTAGGAATGAGGTGGAGAACAGAACCTCTCTCGTTCACTTTCTTATACTAGTTTATTCAAAGTAAATAGGTCGCGTGGAGGTCGGCAGACCAGGTGAGTTGCAGCCTCTAAATCACTGTAATTTCGTGCAGGGGTGGAGGGTGGGGGGAGCCTGGGCAAAGCCTTGCAATCGTCAGGAGCAACCGCGCAGTGGGATAAACTTTGGCTCCGGCTCTGCCGCACGAGAGGGGCGGGGTTACTTGAATGGGTCCTCAGGAGAAGGCGATTGGCCCCGGGGGAATCGAAGGGGCGGGACTAGTCCATTGTTGCCATTGGTCCTGAGGGCGAGTTGAGGGATGGCAGCGAGGGGGGCGGAGCCCGCAAGGGGAGGCAATTGGCTTGGCAAGAGCCCACCGAGGGGAGCGGGC